TCTTTCCTTGGATTCCAAAGGAAAGCAACCCCAAACTTACATATTTGAAAGGAAGCGCCATTGGTTTTATGTACATAATGGAGAAGGATACTTTAAAGTCTGAGAGCCAGCTTGGTGTAGTGCTTGGCATGTTGGACTATGACTCTGGGGACCAGGGTTCAATTCCCAGGTTGGCCATAAGACCACTGGGTGACTTTGGCCACATTTCTCTCTCTCAGCTGCAGGGAAAGGCAATGGCACGTCTCTGAACAAATCTTGCCAAGAAAACACCATCACAGGTTTGCCTTAGGGTTGTCATAAGCTGGAAAGACTTGAAGGTACACAACAACAAACAACAAGAACTTTAAAGTTTTGCCAATATGGTTACAGTGCTAGTGATCATCTTTAAAAAGAGATTGCATTTATCTGCAAGAAGAGAAATAAAATAGTTTATACTGCCTGGGTGAAGCCATGTTGTAATTAATTCCTGATTCAAGTACCTTCTTAAAACCTTGTAGTTATTTTTTCTTATTCTTTGTTCTAGCAGACTTGTGTTCTTAAATTTTAACTTCTAATTTTTTTAAAAAAGCATGGAGGCTACAATGAAGATTGGCAAAGGAACTGCATTCAGCCTTTGTAGAAAGCCAGGTAGACTGAAGAATCCTGTGTCAGTGCCAATTAATAGACTTTTTACAGCTTCCAGCTTTGGAAAGAGTCTCTTGCTAATGAAAAGGCTTACAGCTGACAGAAAAACTGAACTTTCATCAGGTGCTCCATAGCAAATGGTTAGTAGCCTGTGCAGAGCCTGTGCAAGTTTACTGACTACAAATCCCAGAACCCTCCAGCATGGCCACTGGCTTGTGGCAAAAATAAATTACCTCTGGATATTGGAAGAGAGGATATTTTTTTTCTTTTAAAAATTTCTTCCTTTTCTAGTAAGCCATCCGTCCATCCCAAGCAGCTAACTTTGGTATGCGTGGGCTGGCAGGCTAATAGAAATGCTCATGGCCTAAGGACTCCTGTGAGCTCATTTACCAGGCTAGGGAAGAACATTTTCTAGGGCTTCTAAAAACAGTTGTTAATAGAGACCTACAGAAGTGCCTGGTACTCAAGATGGCCTTGAAGCTATACCTTCAGATTTGAAATTCAGGGTTCTTCATTCCAGATATAAGTAGATGGTAGTATTATTCAACCTGAGTGAAACATGCTTAGCATTTGCTCGGAGATAATTTTTTCCTTATTATTAAGTCATATTTCAAGTTTAGCTATGGCATTTCAAATAACTTTTGGATGTTAATTCTCCTCAATGCTGGGCAATTCATACAACCTTTGAGTGTGGAGTTTGGAGTTTTTAGGGTTTTGTGGGGGGGGCTTGAGGTTTTTTGTTTTTTTTTTTTTGTAGTTTGGTTTTGCAGAATTTGATGTTTAGTTTTAAAACTTTTAAATTTGTAGACCAATTTGTCAAGGTAAGAGTACTGATTTAAGTGAAAGTAAAGTGTATTTGACAAAGATTGTGGCAAACAATTACTATATACAGCAGAAACTGAAGATAGTGAAATTCCATGGTGGCGCTATTATACTGAGGAAGAGTACAGGAAGATTTTGCTCCTTGTATTTCACAATTTTGAAAAATCAGCACTTGTAATTCAAAGCTAGATACCAGCCTGGATAAAGCCAATTTTATAGCTCAATTTCAGGTGCAATCAAAGAAGGGAAGGAATTGTTGCCAGGTCTCTGCCACTGAGCATGGTAGAAATCTTTTGAGATAATTTAATCCTCTGATCCTTCTGGCTGTCTGAATAGGTCTCCTGGGCACATGTACCTCCAAAGAGAAATAAGCAAGTCTGAGAAATCTCTAAGCTGATTTCTCTGGTCCCTGAGTGCCAGAGTAAATGACAACTTACTGTCTTCCATTTTAATTAGCAAAATAAAAGTGCATGTTTAATAATTGTGGATTAATTTGGACCAGGGTGATGAAATGTTGACTGTGTCCTTATTTATAATTACAGTTGCCCCTCCATTTTCATGGGGGATCCGTTCTGGACCCTGCTGCGAAAATGGAAAACTGCAAATATTCAAGCCCCATAGGCTTGACACTTCCCATTTTATCTCCTTCTGTTTGCCCCCTGCCCATGGGCAAGGGACGCTGACTTGAAGTCTGCAAAAATGGAGGGCCAACTGTATATTCATTCCCCATTCTCTTATTCACTGTAACCAGGATTATGACCAGTTTTCACACACTTGTTAGAGAAGCAGAGCTCAAAGACAGTCATAGAGGTTCATTAGCCCTTTTGAGGCAAAACAACTCAGCTGCCAATAAGAAATTAGTTTCCTGACCAGGTTTTGGAAAAGGTAATTTCCCCAGTTTGTAGTAAAATTCAAAAGAGGTTGTAATTACCCTATGGCATGTGTCATAAAACAGTAGCATTCAGTATTGGCTTCAAATTTGTACGTTTATTAATGTTATCAGTGAAATCTTCAGATTTGGTTACTTTGTGATGTAGGACATTGGGTGACTAGAAGGAGAAGAGGAAACATCACAAAAGACAATGACATCCCTGCACCGGGTCTGGATGACACCCAGTGCAGGGATGGGACTTCTGGGGTGGGTGGGACTTCTGGCCTCAGTCTTCAGGTGGGGTTTTTGGAAGCCCAAGGCCAGAAGGACATCCATGAGGGCTGCACCCATGTCCCTGTGGGCCAGAGTGGTGCCCACGTGGGCCCGGGGAGCACCTGCGTGGTCCAAGCAATGCTGGCGTGGGCCCAGGGAGCTCCCATGGGGGGCAGAGGAGCTCCCATGGGGGGGCAGGAAGATAACCGGGTGTCATCCCTCATTCTGGCATGTCACCCGGTGTGAACCACACACCCCAGTGATGCTACTGACAAAAGACATTAAGTTTTTCACAGAAAAATCACATTCCCCATGCATAAGCCAACCAGCCTAGATTTGAACTTGCTTCTAAACAGTCCTCTTCTCACCATATCAAAGGGCATCAATGTAGGCTAGAGGCACAGATCTGTGTTCTCCAGAAAATCATTGCCGGTCCCAGCACTTGCTGTTTAAAGTGGCTGCTTCATCCTGCCATATTGTAGTGACTACATTGATTAATTTCTTCTTATGCAGAAATGTCTCCAAGTCCTTGCCTGCATAGGCCAAAAGGACCATCCCATCTCCCCCATTCTAATGTTATCTTGTTTGAACGATGCATGGCTCAAACTTCACTTCTGATGCAAGCAGTCTCGATGCTGTCCAACAAATTCAGCACTAGAACTGGGTTTAAAAAAACCTACCTCTTAATGCTGGTTGTTCTGGGAAGTTCCAGTGCTCTTAGTTTCCATGCTGGGGCAACTGTCTACATGGGCATTCTGCTGAGCCACCTGCACATCTGCTGCTGTTACCAGTCACTCACTCTGAGGTCAGAACAAGGTGCCCAGCTGTGCAAACTATTCCTACCTCAGAAGCAAATGACCTGCAGTGGTGGCAGACGCACCAGGCTGCTTGGCAGGACACCCGTGCAAACAGCCACCCCAGCTTGGAAATGGAAGGTTGGGTAATGTGGGGAGATCAGAGCAGCTCCAAAGCCAGGATATTCTGGGCTGCCCCCAAAGTATTGTGGCCATGGCAGACAAGTCCCAAGGCAGTGTTTCCTGAACCATGGCTCTAGGACAGGGTTAGGGGATCTATGACTCACCAGATGTTGTTGAAATACAACTCCCATCATACCTGACCATTCTCCATGACTGGTGTATCAAAATGTCCCATCAGCTAGGATGAGGATTAATTTGGGGTGTTTTCTGACCTGAATATGAATTTCAACAAGAGAATAAAACTATCATGTCCGCAGTATTCAAACACCCAGAAGCAAGAAACACATGTTCACATGAGATGGAACATTCATTCTGAGCGGCAATTAACCTCCTTGTATTTTTAAAAAATGGATTCAACACAAATGCAATAGATTTTTTGGGACAGTTTTTATCCCAGTGGTTTATTATCTCTGTTAAAAACCATGCACATGTTAGGTAGCTGGAACTCAGGGACATTGGTATTATTGTGAAATGCTTGCCTTGTAGGTCTACCTCTCTGTGTTTTATTTATAATGGCATGACCTTAGGGGAGTAAAATGTCTTACTTGTCAAGATGAGAGCCAAATGGCTGGCAATATATTAAGTTAATTAAAGTTTTCAAAAACCTAAATTTTATTATTTGCAAAGTATGCAAAATGACCATGCAAGCAAAGACATGCTCAAAATACTGTAGCAAACACATCCTACCATATTTGGAGCAATAAATTCCAGAGGTGCAAGCTCAGTTTAGGAAGGAAGATGCACAGAGATGACATTGAGACAACAACAACAACAACAAATTTTATTTATAGCCTGCCTCTCCCTGCAGATCGAGGTGGGTTACAACAAATAACATATGCTAGAGTGCACTAGAGAATTCCAGAAAAAAGTACTATGTGCTTTATAGACTATTTCAAAGTGTTTGACTGAGAAGTTTGACCATGAAAAATTATGGCTGGGTCTGAAAGAAACTGATATACCATTACATTTTATTGTCTTGATGTGTAACTTTTACACAGGACAAGAGGCTACCTTTAGAGCAGGGGTCAGCAACTTTTTTTTGCCAGGGGCCGGGAGGGGGGGAATGGCGCCATTGTGCACATGTGTGCGCGTGTGGGGGGGGGACCATTTTGGAATGCCCAATGGCGCCGGTGCTGTGCGAATTCGCACGGCGCCGGTGCCGTTGGGAATTCCAAAATGGTGCTCTGTGTTGCATGTGCATGCGTGGCGGCAGCAGCGGCAGTGGCGACACGACCGGCCGCGGGCAGGTCCCAAGGCCTCTGTGGGCCGCAACGGCCTGCGGGCCGTAGGTTGCTGACCCCTGCTTTAGAGAATACAGAGAAACAGAATAGTTTCTAGTTGATAAAGGGGTCAGGCAAGTTTGCAGCTTATCAGTCTATTTGTTCAAGTTATGCAGTGTAGGCTTAGACTCAGAGGAAGGAGGAGTGAATATCTTAAGATATGCAGATGCAGTTGGGGAGGTGTGGCTTCTGGGTGTATGGCATCTGAGCAGGACTTCTGGTGGGACTTCTGGGAGGCAGGGTCATGTGGAAAGCGGCCGCATGGACCATGGAAATGGCTGCTTGCTGCCTGCCTGCCACCTGCTGCCCACCTGAGCTGGAGACTCCAT